CTGTAAATAGTAGGTAGTTACAGTAAATGGCAGTTATTTACAGTGCATATCTGTAGTAACCTTGCACTGTATGAAAAGAAGTTTCCAGAGACCACTTGTTAGATTTATAAACTGACAGGAAGTGTGAGCTGGCTTAAAAGTGTATTTTTAATTGCACAGCTGACCTTAAAATAGCATGTGAGTGACTCTTTCTAACTTCATGTTTCACGCCAAACACGCAAACCAGCTTCTTTTCCTTGTTTTGCCTTAGTTTCCTTCTCCCTGTACAGCTGCCTCCAGATATTTCTTGCCAGTACTTAAAAAGGATTAGGTGAAAGTCCAACATCTGATGCCAAATATTAGGTTGCAGCTCCTTTTGCACCATTCCCACCTCCAGTGTCTAAATTTTTTGCTGTAACCTGGCTGCTTCCTATTACACTTTTTCCATCTCGTCCTTGGTGATCATATGTCATATATACACCTATATGATTTTTGTACAGTTAATATGATCTATACTGAAATCCTGGGATACATCAATCCATCTGTATTAGAGGGGAATTAGCCTTTGAGCTGTAACTGAGATTTAATGCTTTTTTTTTTTAGATTACAACAAAGACCTTTAGCCCAGCTGATATATATCTGTATACATACAGAGTCACAACTGAGCACACAATGTTTGGGGTTAAGCAGCGTGTCTACATGGTAAGTTCAAATAGTTATCTAAAACAAACTTGGCATAAAAATAGAATCAGTGTCTTACTTACTGTCCTCTGCAGTTCCGTTTGAATGATGGTGATATAATCACTTCTGATGTTATCAAGTTGTACACTACCACAGGACAGAGAGAGAGGTAGAAGAAGGAGAACAAGGAAACTGATGCAAAAAAGAGGCTTAAGGTTTAGGGTCAGAGTGTGGGGGATACAGGGAGAGAAAGAGTGAGACAGAAACATAGCGGTCAGCCAAAAAATCGAAAACATATTTGCATAAAAAGCAGTTTAAACAACCAGCTGTGCCCTCCTCTGTGAAATGCACAGGTGACTTTCAAAGCTGGAAAGACTGCACATCGTGAGTTATGCACAAGAAAAACAATGCATGCTGCTGATTACTTAACCCGATATGTCTTGACTATGTGTAGGAGACAGAAGAGTTACTTTTTTTTTTTCCAAATGAGGTTGAAGATACTTTGCACTACATGTGTGGCAATAGGGTTTCTAATCAAGTATATGTGGGTGCATGACAATGTCCCTTTGATCACAGAAGGGAGATTACTACTGTTAGGATTAATGATTAAAAAGTTAACGAGTTCTTTTATAGTCGAATTAGATTTGTGTGTGTCACGGATGGAATCTTTCGCTGAATTTCGTAAAACATGTCCCGCCTGTTAGTGTTTTGTGAGCAAATCTTAATCTCTCCAGATTTAAGTATATTTACCAAAGTGTCACATTAAACGTAATGAGCTAAAATGACACAGTCTTAAATGAAGCCTTGAGGAGTTTGTAACACTGACACTCGGTGGCAGAAGTTTTCTCATGGATTAAGTATTTCTTCAAAACAGGTTTCTGTTGTTTTCGGACAGAGTTCAGTTCAGTTCCTAAATTTGTGGCCAACCCTTCCAGCAATGAATGAAATGCTGAAATGTTCATTCAGTCTTGACATTTTAACAGCAAATGAGGAACCTCCGTCACAATTGACAATAAATTACATTTAGGACAATTTGGTTCCCAGGCACCACGATTTAGTGTCTCCAAAGCTGAGATCATTCTTATTCTGCTTACAGCTCTGGTTGCATGATAGACAAAGAAAATACTATATACATTTTTCAGTTCATACTAACGCACCTAACATTTTTAAACCACAGCCAAACACTGCAAAAAAAGCAAAAGCAACGATCAAATAATTGTCATAATGTTACACATAAACCTACTACACAGAGTTGCAAGTAAAGATTTGTGAACCTGTTGAATTACCAGCATTACTGAATGAAATATTTCTAAAATTTGATCTATTTAATTATAACATTCCTATGCTTCTGGTCATAGAACTTTGTCGATATTTCCACCTGTAAAATTTCTTTGTACTATTTTGAGATCTCTTCAGGGAGTACAAGCCACCGAGACCCTGAAGTAGAAAAGCAACCCTAAAACATGATGGTCCCTCCACCGTGCTTCACAACTCAAATGAGGCTTTGCTCCAAGTGTAGCGCTGGGATTTTAGCTTCAGTTTCACCTCTCCTCAGAGGTGAGCCGTAGAAGTAGTAAGGAAATAGCACTAGCATTTCTCTCACACGTGAACACATGCTTTAGCAAATTGTAAAGATTTCTGCACGTCTTCTACTACTGTCCTTGTGTTTTAGTTCACCTGTTCAGGATTGTAGATCATTCTCTTGAAATGATCCTTTCAAGTAGTAACAAATCATGAATTTTCTGTATTTTACAGGTAATTTATTTTTACTGTTGAAACGCAGGACTTTAAAAACCTTTGAGACATTTTTCATCTTTTTGCATCTTTTCAATGCAGTTCCTCAAAGGTCCTGTGAATGGTGACACACCAATAGTTTTTCAGAAGAGCCACACTGACATTATAGACTTTGTATCCCTCGATTAATAGGGAGGGGCACCTCCACAACTATGCTCCAAATCTTATCTCCTTGACTGGAATAACTATGACGAAGTACCTTTAGAAGCAGCCATGAGTGGACACAAAAAGTTTCTTTATTTCCCATTTAGTCAGAGACTTTGACGATGATCCAACTACATTTTACAAGTCACGAAAGCAAAACTCCTGGTAATTCCAGTAGGTTCACAGACGTTTTTCCTCGAACTGAAATATTGATAGTACATTGACGCAAGCGCAATTCTGAGTTACTGTGACTGTACTCAAAAATTTTCATTCAACACTACTTTAAACTTCCCTCGATTTCAGAGAGGAGTTTGCACATTTTACTTGACTATACATGTCTATGTACTTTTTTTTTTTAAAGAAAACAAATCATGTTAATGCTATTTAATACAATGCAAAGCAAGCAGTTAAACTGCTCCACATACTATTAAGAAGTTAGAAATTGACACACTTTTAACTAACCAAACAATTAAAATGAGCAGGTACTAGTCAAGTACTGAACTCCACACTCTAGATCATTCAGTAGGATCACTTTACTTTTTTAGTCACCTGTACTCTAACTGAAATCTTGTTTTTGACTTGGGTTCTAGCGCAGTCAATGTGTTCTTTCTGTATGGAGTTTATTAACATATGTATAGGTTTGCGCGTGTTTATACGAATGCATGATTTGGTATCTTACTGAACTTAAACTTGAGTGGGATTTCAAGAAGTCTTTCATTAATCTACCAATTCCTGTAAGCCATGAGCTAATTCCCGTAAATCCTATTTCTATTTCAGTTTCCTTATTACTGGCACATGGGAAGTTATTAGCACGGAATTCCCCTATGTGGAAAACTCTGAAGTCTCTAAACAGTAAATGCGCCAGTCGCTCGTCGGAGAAGGCAGTGAGACGGATGCGCGTGTAGTCAGCTCCCGGTAAGTTTAGAATACGCTAGACTACGCTGCTTTACCTGGTACTGGCTTTGCATGTTTGCATTTTCATTCATGCATTAACACTGACCTGATATCAGCGCTAACTTGTCACCGATTTAATGGTTTTAAGTGAGTTTAATTCAGTGCGTCACCATCGTAGGCCATTTGCGTGTACCTAAGTGGCATGCTTTATTACTTACCATTGGTCATTCTTCATTCATATTCACCTCGGGCTAATGTTGGAAGCGGGCAGTATCGAGTGCGTCTTCATTGCTGCTGAAATTCTTCAAAGTTATGGCTTTACAGTTTGAAACTATACGTGTTCGTCCTCCCTCTATTCCCGCGGTTCTTGTGGCTTTTGAGCGAAGGAATCACGCAGGAATCACGTCCTGCCTTACGCAGCATGTGACATTACTTCCGTCCTCGCTAAGGTTTCACTTTACTTCAACATAAATTAACGTGTAAAAAAAAAAAAAAGATTCAACCTCGAAATAGCAAAATGTACGCTGACGCCAAAGGTTGCTGTGACAGAGTGGAGGTAAAGAGTGCAGGATGCGTGCACGTTGTTTAGCTCATGCTGTGGGCAGGCTTTCATGTTTTCGTGAAACTGCCAAATATAGCTCCAAGCTGATGGACCTAATATTTAATCTGGCAAATCCGAGTAGTGCACGCTATCAGTAATTTGCCCTCCTTATTTCTTGCGTCTATGGCATGTTAGTCATTACCTTCTGAACCCAAATGTCACACGTGTTCATCTTTAAACGTTTCCACTTTGTCCATTCATTCATTCATGTACTATGAAAGCACTATGCAGAAAATGTTACTGAGAAGAATCTGCTGTGTCACAAATGTTCCCAGAGGCTATATGCGCGTTGATTTTCATGGTCGACTACTCTTTAAATGTATCTATTAAACGTATCTACAGTAGTTATGCTACCTCCCTACATAATTCTCAGTGTAGTCAATTACAAGTGAACTTTCTGGAACAGACATTTCCCTTTTTGCTAAAGTCAAAACTATATTTTCTTTTTTCCCATTTCTCTCTCTTTTTTAAACTTAATATGCTTTTAGAGCTTTCAAATGCACATCCAGTCCATTATAACCTATATGGACATACCGCATAATGCATGTGAATAGATTGATTTTGCAAAAAGACAGAGAAAATAGGCATAGTATTGTCAAACAATTATTCTCCTACCCTTCAAGCCTGTGTGGCCAAGAAGTAGAAGACTATAAATACGATCTGTGAAAAGCAGATATTAAAGGTACTGTCATGGATTTCCCCAAAAATATACTGTCAGGATTAAAGATTTGGTAAGGCCACGTGACACACAGCAGTTCTGAATAAGCTAAATAATAAAAACAAAAGCACATTTTGCCATATGCACCCCTATATATAATCCACCTGAGATGCTTTGTTCCATTGTAAACAGGTGGGAGGGGGCAACAGCTGAGGCTCAAAATGGATTTACCACACAAAACAATTTTAACACAGAACTTGTTTAAACTCGTTGGGGGGTAGGCATCTTTCACTCTGTCTAAGATTAGATCTCTGCAATGATGATTTTTTTTTTCTAATGCAGCCAGGTCAAAGGTTAACTCTGTAATATGTAGCATTTCAGGTCACGCACCCAACTTATTCGGAATTGTTGCAAACAAATCTCTTTATATAACAAAGCATGGCAAAAACTGTGGGAAAAAACTACTTGCACAATCGATTCCCACAGTTTTGTTTTGTTTTTTTACTGCAACCTTAACCAATGCTCCACTTCCTAACCAGTTGGGTTTGGTTTGTTGAGTTTTTTGTTTTTTTTGTTTTTGTTTTTGTTTTTTTTGAGGATGAATTGCAGAAACACTTAAAAGAAAAAGGACTGAATTTCTTGCAAACTCTTTCACTTGACTTTATTTTGACAGTGGCGCTGCCTGTTACCAGTAAGAGTTTATCTAGCCCCAGTAATAGTGTTTTTCTGGCTTTTTTAAAGTAAAGGAAAATATGTGTGGGTGCACGTGTCTGCTACAGTGGTGGAATTGACACTAATTAAAGACATCCATCAGATTATGACAGTGTTGCCAGGCAGCAATGCATCGTGGGACCTCTCCAGTGCATCCAAGACAGCAATCAAAGACGCTGATGATGTTCCACAGCAAGATTCATCTTGTTTCTGTTGATTCACTGACAAACTATGTGTGGGATAAACCGAGACACACAATGTCATATGTTTTTAAATCATTACGTTTCCGTCAATAAAGTTGCTTAAAGTCGTCGCCTACAGTCAGCTGCAAGTCGAAGCGTTTCATTTTACGAATCCTTCATTTACATTAAGGTTGCACATCAAGCACTGCAGCAAGTGCATTAAGGACTTCGGGTGTTTGTTGTGGCTACAATGACGTTCTTACTGCTTGAGGAATGCAGTCAAGTATTTCATGCATGCTGGACAAGATTTATTTACTGTCCTTTTAGACACCTGCACCCAACTAGACCAAATCACTTCCTTCTTACGGGAAATTGTTTACTGGTAAAATGGAAAAAAGCTAATCAAGCGTGATTCAGGCCTTCTAGGATCTTGGAACAAAGATAAAGCTGTCTTAGAAAAATACAAAGGTGGCAGCCTTTGTGAGTAAATCATAGTGTGAGAATAAGAAAAGAGTTATATAAATGTTAAAGAAAATACTCCTCAGGATTAGCGAGTTTTAATTTTTAAAAAATTCTTTTTGCAATTAGTTTTTCATGCTGATGTCTTAGAGTGCAATGAAAAATATCAACAAGCGTAGTGGGGGAGTTTCAAAGTGTTGCACTCAAGGCCTTTGCAAAAAAAGTGCATAAAATGCAAGATCTTGTTCTTACAATACTGCATGTGGCTTAATGTGCTTAAAGTGTGCTGTTGAAATCTGCCTCGTAAAAAGGGGCAGGTTAGTCACTAGAAGTAATTAATCACGTTCTTCTTAAAAAAATATTTCCACACCTGTCAGATCTGCGGGGAGATAGTGGCTTTTTCTCTGTGTTGTCGTTTACCTGATTTGGATCATCAAAGGTCCACACCAGTGTTTTTGCTTGTTTTAGCTCACTTCACAGCATGCACTGTATGCTGACCTTGATAGATTTGCTTTATTGTACGATATGCATATTTTTGGCATCACATCACTGAAGTATAAAGCGTCCGTGGGAAAGCTAAGGGAACACTGTGATCCTTTTGCTGAAGTTCACGTGTGGCCTTGCCCAGATGAAAGAATGGATGTGTCACACGCTGTCAGTCACCAAACAGAAACCAAGGTGGAGTAAGGAACGTTGCATTCTCCATGTTTAGGTAAATAAAATTTTCAATTTTTATTCAGCATTGTTAGCAAACATAAGGCTTAAGGTAACCTCTGAGTCTGGTAGTTAGATTGTTGCTTTATTATTTTCTTGTCAGATTTTGGGGATCATTTTGGATGTGTTTCCTCTTTAATTGTAACGCATATTTTTAAAAATGCAATAAGGCTGCATGCTAATTGGACCTAATGCTTTTGCTTTTGTCTCTCATGACGTGTACATGCGAATATTACGTGACCTGTTGCATGCAATCTTATCTAGTCATTCTGTGTTTATGCCGCTATCTCCCTCTGACAACTATTGATGAATTGCTGTAGTTAATGCACCATTAAACAAATTTAATGTAAACATCAGAGTCATTTATTCCATTTTGCTCTTTATTGCAGTCTCAGTCTCCTTTTGCATGCATACCCGCATGTACTGTGGCCAGTTTTCACAGTGAAAGACTGACATGAGGGTGTGACTTTCACACACATCCTGGAATACACGGTTGCTTAATATTCCTAAATGAAAACCGATTACTGACAGCATTTCTTGTAAAACTGTGTCGCAACACATTTTATGAATGAAAGTGCAGACAGACTATAGAGTTGTGATTTTTTTCTTTTTTTAAAAAAAGAAAAGGAAAAGAAAGAAGAGAGAACTAAAAACAGGAACTTGGTTTAACTTGTCTGAAAGACTCATCTTGTGGGGTTTTCTGTTACCGTATGCTACATTTTTACATCCTCCGTTTTAGGGAAGTTCTTTGATTATAGCACTCTCACTAACCGAGGCAACTCTTTGCTTCTTCAGTTCTCCAGCAAAACAGTAACAAGAAAAAACACGAGTTAGAATTCTAGGGCCATTATTTTACAGATTACATGAAAGTGTGTAATGCATTTGTGTAGAGTTTATGTGTCACTTGTAAAGAGTGCAGAGAGTGCTAGAAATGTGTGACATGACAATGAACACGCATGTTAAAACCGGTTCCAGCTGCCTTCACATGGGTAATAAATTAAAATCATAATTAATAGAAAGTGTCTTACTTTTAGCTGCACATCAAACAGCTCGCTGTGCATGTGTCAGGATTATTTAGGTTTATTGTAGCCCTATACATATAAACAAGGTTAAGGTAATATGTGTGGAACTTTTTAGTATTTCATATTATATTCATTTTACAAAACTCAAATTATTATTATTGTTGTTGTTGTTGTTGTTGTTGTTGTTATTTTAATAATTTTAAAAGTATATTCACAAATATTGCCGTGAATATTACTCAGTCTTTTGTTAGAAGTAAATAGAGACATGTTGGCATATTTCTTTCTTTTTTCATTTTATTAATGCTCCCATCTACATTTTAGACATACAGATGGGAAATATGTCTCGGTTCTGATTCACCTCTCGGACTCTCTTCCTTTCTCTCCTTTTTCTAGCCTTCTTTGTTTGTGTCTGTTATGATCAGTATTACTGTAGGTGGACTGCTACTGTTGCTACTTCTGGACTCGCCCTGTGTTCTCAGCAGGCAGACAAGATTTTTTGGCACGACATCCTGGGTTGTGGCCACTTGTCCCCTGAAACCTCTGTCATAGTTTTCAGCAATACTGGACATCCTGCTTCTTTTAATGCATTACTTGCTCAGTAGGAAGAGAAGAAAACAAAAGCCCTCCACGGGAAAACAGTGTACAGGTAACATGCAGAGGGTGCTAGTTGGATTCTGGTTACCTGACCTGGTCCTGCCAGGCCTGCACTCGCTGAGGCCTGTAATATGGAGAGATCAGATGGATTATCTGTTCTCTCTATATTGCAGTTTTTCATTAATGTAATGAATAAGTTGTTATTGATATCGTTGTTGTCATAGCAAAAATACCAGAAATACCACACACACCCAGACACACACTTGCAAACACACACACACACACACGTAAACAACTTCAGCTTAACAGCACAGCTGCATCCACAGTGGTTTAGTCTGTAGTTTTGTCAAAGTTCTTTTTTTTCCTATGATCTATGTGCAGATTTGTTTCTCGTATGTATTTGATGCCACATGAGAATATTTCCTGATGATAGTGGTGGAGAGTCGATCCAAAATCCCTCACAGGTTTTCGGTTGTGTTCCAGACAAATCCAGTGACGTCACATCATTTTCATACTGGCAATGGGAGCGTTTACATCCAAGAGAACACCCGCATCAGGATAAAAGCATGCCTCCAAACTGCATAGCAGAGTCACTGAATCACCAGGCTTCAGATTTTCCTTTTATTTGTCACCTATCTTCAAACACTAGAGAGGGAGCAGCAAACGGGCTGAACAATACAATTAATGCTTGTGCACTACTTTAGACACGCCGCTGGCATCATCTCGGCCTGTTTACTTCCAACTTAAGTCTCATCTCTAAATTTCTTCACTTTAGTCCCCTCATCCTGCTTTCTTCACTTCTGCAGTGTGCTAAATACATGCTCCACCTCGGTCTTCAGGATCCCCTTCAGGTCCGTGTTCCTTCAGCTCTCAAGAGGCGGATGGGCAGGGACCAATCCGTGTCATCATCTTCTTAAGGAAGTCATTGCAGTTTTTCCGTAGCCAACTTCAAGAACGTGATGCCAAACTTGTCCTTCTCGTAACTCAGCACAGACTATGCGAGTTCTTTTCCAAGATCAGCAAGAAGAGGGCACGCTGTTTGGTTTTAGTTCCAATAAAGCTGTTTCCTTGTACCTCATAGTCCATTTGAATAAAACCTGTTTGTCTCTGAGCTTCCCGTGCATTAATAAAGTCAGGCATTGTTAAAACACAGTGGGGGTTTTCTCTCCCAACAAATGCTGGTGGGTTACTTTGGTCACATTTTTGACCGAATAAAAGACAATAATGAGCAATGACTGGCATTGGATACATGGTTTAAAATATGCCTGTTTGATGGTAACTGTGAGAGTCCACTGTAGGTGAAATGTATTTCAACACAGGGCAAATCAGCACTTCCTGCAACGAGTGGACTTTAACACACTTCACGGGCATGCCAGGGACATGACTGTACACTGTGGCACACCACCCAAAAAAAAAGAAGAAGAAAGAATTATGCAATAATTATGTAAAACATCTCTAGGGACACAACCGTGGTAAATATTTCCCATGTAATTGACAAACTACTTCTAAGCCTCTGTTAACAGAGCCAGCATGGCCTTTAAGCTGCAAACGTAATGCTTAAAGCAATGTCATTCCTTCAATCCACAGCTGGCCACTCAATCAGCCAATTTAATCCTCCAAAATATGAATCTGTTTAAATTTACAACATTAACACGTGTCGTTATCTTTCACAAATCTATATCAGAGACGCAAACATTTGAATATGAATGGTTTTTAACTTATTTGGGTGACAAATAAGTTCACTGGCTCCACCTAGTGGTAAATCTTTAAACCTGCATTTCTGCGTTCCATTCGTGATCCTCTGGGAGCGGAAGTAAGAGGCAGAAGACAAACTGAACTCACCCTATTCAACTTGTTTTTGTTTTTTTATATATATATTTTTTTAA